GATCCTCATCGTCGGACCGGATCCACTCCATCGGTCCGAAGTGCGAAGTCGAGCTCAAAGACTTCTCAGGGGAAGTCCACTGGGACTCAGAAAGGTGACCAGCGAAAAGATCATCTCCGTATGCAACGTCTTCTTGGAACGTTGGAGCAGTCGCATACAAAGCCAAAACCGATTTTTCCACAGTCAGTTTTGGGACACTTGTTCATGAGAAAGTTTGGTTTGTCGCGTGAGCAACGCAGCCACATCATTCGTTCAACAGGCGGCTCCAGTCGATTTGTTGACATTGAGAAGATTTTGCGTGCTAGTGACTATGAGGAGAGATTGGATGACCGGCGACCACGGCTGGACGATCGTCGACAGGTGAGACCACGACGCGAAGCCTATGCTGTTGAACAAGTTGCTGAAGCTTCATCCACCTCCATCGACCCACTTTCTGACTCCGGGTCTGGTGAAGAGGCCTACCAAGTTGAGGGTGGCGAAACATCTCTGGGTTCAGGTTCTGAGGAAGAGCTGCAGGAGATCTATCAGATTCAGAAGAAAGCAAAGAAAGAATTCAAGAAACAGTTTCGCACCTACAAGGAGTCAAAGAAGAAGGTGAGGGAAATCAAAAGAGCACGACAACCATACACGCCGGTGGTGGCCATTCCACCCACCGAAGGCGGCCAGTCCCAGGCTCCACTGGGAACTCAGGCTGCATCGTCCAAAACACCACGCTATGAGAAAAGGTCCTTTGACAAGAAGTCGCCGCAAAAGGACCCAAAGAAGAAACCACCGAGGCGTGAGGACGCCAACCTGACAGAAGCTGTGGAAATTGTTGACAGGACATTGACCGAGTTCAACTATGCCCTGACCGAGTCCACCGCTGCTGAACTGGAAATTCTCCTGGCCTCAATTCCATCGGGTTTTGCAATCATTGATACTGGTTGTACAACATCCGTTGTTGGCGAGGAAACAGCACAGAGATATGAGCAGGTTTTCAGACAATGCAATTTTCCTCCACCCGTGCGTGTCACAATGCCTACAGTTGAGCTTCGTGGCTTCAATGGTCAGAGCGAAACAACAGCTGTTGGTTTGAAGTGGACAGTACAGCTGGGTTCGTTGAAAGGGAATATCACGACATATGTTGTTCCTGGAAGCGCGCCATTCCTGCTGTCACGAAGGGTGTTGGAGGGTATGCAGGCCACACTGGACTTGGGCCGAATGACCATCACGAGTCCAAAACATGGTACGCAAGATGTACCCCTGAAACAGGCCGCAAATGGCCATCTGCTGTTGTCTCTGGTGCCACAGGTTGTTGAGTGGGAGACAGTCCTCAACGACTCGAATACAAATGAGCCCAATCCGCATGAAGCCCAAGCGATGGACCGCAAGTCCATCTCCGTTGATCTCGAGCACCACCAAGACCTCAAAGGACAGGACACGAACAAAAACAGTGTTTTAAGTGCACCAAAAGTGGAGCCAACCCCGTGTGATACTCGGAGGGCGTTTCAAACTGTTTGTAAACATACCAAACGAGGAAACGTCGATTGCAGTGTTTTTCGCGCCGAACTGTCCCAGTTGTTTTCATGTCCCGAACACCAGGTGGTGCATGCCTATGTAGCATATAAACCTAGACTAGAAAGGATTCCTGCCGAAGCCGAACGAACTTCACTTGATATGAAGATAGTCTCTATGGATAAAGATGGAAACATGCACATGTCAGGATGGATCGTTCGTCCAGCCGGACGGGTCAGAAGACCTGTCAACCCAATGCAGGTTGCGATCTTTGCATTTCGATCCGAGCAAGCACCCCCTGAACCTGAGAGTGCCGGCAGTGAGTCCGATCGTGTCGAACCAGCAGAGCCGACGCCATCAGCGCACCAATGTGATTGTTGTTGTAATGATGACATAGAAGGGGATTGGGAATACACCATGCGATCAAACACCCTCGAAACTTTGTACGAAGAGGTTGACTGGGTAGATCTTGACTTGCAGGATGTTCCAAAAGAAACCCAAACGAAACTGAAAGACGCAATCACAGCGGCACGCCGTGTCGGTGTACGCATGGCTTTGTCTCGACTGCAGAGCAATCGGCAGGAAGTGCTTTCAGAACTTCGCCACTGGTTGGGCAACCAGGCTAGTAAACTTGACTCCAAGGTTGGACTCATAGAAGTTTTCACAGGAACAGCCAATTTGTCCAAACAGTTCGAAAAGAGAACCCAGAAAACAGCAATCCAAATTGGGATAGATTATGGACATGATCTTGGTAGGTTGAGGGATAGACGAAATCTCCTATACCTGGTAGCCTTGACAAAGCCTGATCACATTTGGTTTGCTCCCCCATGTAAGTGCTGGGGTCCCTGGTCGAGGTTCA